CGTGGAGAAAACCCCCTGCTCGGAGAGGCGGAGCCAGCCACTTCTGGGGCTAGTTCTGCCGATGGGACCAGAGCCCCGAAGACCTGCACCCTCGGGCCCGAGGAACCGAGCAGCCCTGCCATCTGTGCTTCAGGCCACGCTGCCCGCTGCAGGGCAAGGCTCGGCTGGGCTGAACTGATGCCCTGTGCGATAAGGGGCGGGAAGCCGCCTCGTCCTCACTTCCCTGCCATCTGCCCGTTTCACAAGATGGCCGCGCTCTGGTCTGCTGGGAGTGCCCCGGCCAGTCGTGCCAACTCAGGCTGGATGTGTTCATCCACCGACTTGTCGAGCCTTCAGCGAGGGTGGCGCGGGCTCAGGACACTGGGCCTGTGGATCCCGTAAAGGCATGGCTCACAGCTGACTCATATGCAAATACGTCTAATCTCCACTTCTCTGGAAGAGCTGGCTGGAGTAAAGCGCTTCCACTTGCATCACACTTGCCACTTCCCTCTGCCCCTGCCCGGACCCGCCGGACCCCAGCCTGCGGTGCCGGGAGCCAGCGCGGGCAGCCGGGCTGGACTCCCCAGAGCAAGCCCCGACTTTACAGGAATGAGTCACCTAGCCACATGGCCGACTTCAAAGGTCTGGACTTTATTTGGGGGCAGAGGAGAACGGAGGAGTGGCCATATATGAAAGCAACTGCTAGATCAAAGGGTTCCCGAGCTGAGGCAGCCCGCGTCCACTGGTCCCCTGCGCACTGGAGCGGGGAGAGGGCTGGACGGCCGCACTGTCCTCCTGCCTCTGGCGGTTCCGCCCTCCCGTGGGGTGGGAAGCATTTCTGCCCCCCCCACCCCCCTCTGTCTTCAGCTGCACGGAGCTCTGGCCGTGTGCACGGCCGACTTCTCAAAGGCGAAAGCTCTGCCTGCCCCATCCAGTCTGGAACCCGCGGCCTAAGTGGGCCAGGCCCCCGGAACAATCTCGTCTCCTAGGCCAGTGGCCGAGCCCCCACTGTGGGGTGTCGGTCAGCTGGAAGCCACAGCGGTCAGGGCCCGTGCCTAGGCACACTCGGGCCCTTCCGAACTCACACCAGGCTGCGCCCGTGGCCCCCTGGGTGCTCCCGGGAAGTGTGAGCCTTGTGAGCCGGGCCTGTGGCCTGCCAGGTAAGCGCCCTCTGCCTGCAGTGCAGCCTGTCAGAGTGATGTATCACTGGGAAACCGGGCGGGTGCCAGCCGTGTTGCAACATTGTCACATCCTGGTGGGATGTCGCAACCTCACCTCCAACCTGCAGGGGAGAGTGAAGGCCCCTGTGTTCCCGGGAATCTGCCCTTCCAGATTTCAGTGGAGCCAGTCAGGTGTGGGCCTCTGGGACCGTGCCCAGAAAGAAAGTTCTGGCCAGCTCTGACTCGGCTTCCCTCCCCCACGAGGCGTTGGGACAAACTGCTGGGAGAGTCGTGGCGGGGGTGGTCAGACAGGCGAATGGCTCACGCATGCTGGGAAGTGCGGGGTCCTCTGACCGGTTGAGTCCCACCAGGCAGAGCAGGAGCAGAGCCCCACTTCTGGCAGGGACTCCTGGGCTTCCGTTGTGTGTGCTAAAGGCTGCTGGACACGGTGTAGGATCGTGGTTATGAGCGAAGCTTCCGGATTCGAAGTGCCGTCTTCACATCCTGGCTCTGCTTTCGGGCTGTGTGGCTATAGACAAGTCACTCGACCTCTCTGTTTCTCAGGGCTTCCCCAGCTCTCAGTCGTGGGTCTGACAGCACCTACCGCGTAGCTGGCGTGTGGAGGGGATGAATGGTTTGCGTTGGTGCTCACCACAGTGCTGGGACCGGGCAGGTGCTGGGTGAAGAGTAGCCACTGTTGCTGTCTATGTACCTATTTTTAAAAGAATTACTTATTTAATTTTATCTATCATTATTTTAAAATTTGCTATGGGGCATGTGTGCTCACTAGAGAGAGGAGGGGAGAGTGAGAAAGCAAGTGGCCAGGTCTGGGGCTCAAAGTGCACACAGCCATGTGGGGGTCCAGCGCCTGGGCCACCTCACCACTGATGGCCCCTTCCTAAACATCTAAATAGGAGGTAATGAACAGTGGTTTGTAATTTTTTAAAAAAGGCCACTTTAGGCAATCGAATGGGCGCCATGGGTCCCTCCCTTTTGTGTGGGGCTGGGTGAGCCCCGAGTACCCTGGAGGCCACATGCGGTCAGGGCGTAGGGGTAGCCCTGATGTAGGACAGCAGTCTCACAGCCCCTTGTGTGGGGGGTGACTTTGGGTCAGAACCGCAGCTTTTGGTGGGCTGTTGAGTGGGGCCTGCCGCAGTGCGCCCAGTGCGCAGACCCACCTCACACGGCCAGGGCGTTTATTTGGCTGACTTCTTCCTAAGAAGTTCCACGTCACAGGTCTCCTGCTGGCACTGCTCCCCAGGTACGGTACGCGCCCATCTGTCACACGAACCTGAGTGTCCCCTGCTGTGGAGGCCCTCTGCTAAGTTCAGGCCACTCAATGGCCTCTTTGTCACACCGATTAAAATGTAACTCTGAATGCCAAAACAGCACTCCTCTGGCTTGAAAACCATCTTTCTTTGTTATAAATGTTTACATTTTTGTGTTATGTTTAAAATAAAAACCTTTCAATGACTTGAACCCTACGTGGCTTCCCAGCTCTCAGAATAAGAGGCCGAGTCTTCGGGCCGACCCGAGCACCCGGCAGTCAGAGCCGCCTCTCCCAGCCGGGCCCTTCGCCGGAGCCACAGGGCGCCCCAGTGCCGTGCACAGCACCACACACACACGGGCCGCTGCCCCGTTCAGGGCCGGCTCTTCCACACTCTCCTCCTGGCCGTCGCCCTCATGCCTTGGTCCTCTGTATGGCAGGACTCCCGTGGCTGTCCCCCACTACCTCGTGAATTGGCCCCTCTCTGCGCCACCCCGCTTCTTACCGGGGTGGCTCCCCCGCAGCGCTGTCGTGTCTTGTCTGGTGCCAGCGTGGAGGGGCGGCGGGCCAGCCTGTGCCAGGTGAGCGGGGGCCCTGCGAAGGCAGTAACTGCAGACGGGGTGGTAAACGCCCTCCTCTTTCTCCTCAGCAGAGTCACCTGATCTGAAAAAGGAGAGACAGCACCCCTCAGCAGAGTCACCTGATCTGAAAAAGGAGCGAGAGCAAGCTGCCAAGCCCCACACCAAGAAGCACAGTAAGTCGCCGGTCCGAGGGGGTCCGAGGGGGTCCGAGGGGGTCCGAGGGCGCGCACGCTCCTGCCGCGGAGCTGCAGCCCACAGCCTTCAGGAGAGCACCGCTGCTGCCGACCCTGCTGGAGGCGCGCGGGCCCAGAGCAGGTGTCTGCGCACCCTCTCACAGCCCGCGCGGATCCCTCTCCTGCTCTCTGGGTTCCAGACGGCGGCAGAGCTTCCTGCAGGCATGGGTTGGGGCTTTCCCTCGAAGAGACCCAGGGCCGACACAGTGCGGGCGGCCGTGCTTCCCTCGGCCGGACTCGACCTTCGTGGGGATGCCGTTTGGAGAAAGATTTGATGTTGCTCTTGTGGGCTTAGGGTTGGGTCCCCCGTGGTGACAGAACCCTGTGACATCCACAGATTGAGTGTCCCTTGTCCAAATGCGTGGGGCCTGAAGGGTCTGGGGTTGGGACTTCTTTTTCTGGATTTTAGAATATTTGTTTCCACACACTGAGACCTCAGGGGATGGAACCGAGCGTAAACACGGACTTCATCTCCGTTTCGTACACGCCATGTGTGTTTACATTTTGTGCATTTAGTCACTGTTCATCACTTCTCTTGTGAGTCGGATTTACTCACCATCAATATGCTTCGCACCAGTCCAGCCGAGGACTCTAAACACACAGTCACCAACCGGTGATAACCCGCTCTAGGTCCCAGAAACGTCCTGCGTCTCTGTTCTCCTCCTTATGCTCCCCCTCTTCCACTCTCCTCCCACATCGTCTCCAGAACCTATAACCATTTTCAGTGTTTCTATTCTCCGTGTAAACTACGCTCAGACAAGGAACTGATAACCCGGCAGCACGGGGACCCAGTGGCTAACCCAATTACAGCGGGGGAGGGGCCGAAGAGACCACTCTTCGGAAGACATATGGACAGCCACAGTGTGTGAAAAACTCCTCGGCGTCCCTCGTCGTAGGGAGGGCAGATCAAAACCACAGGGAGATACCCCGAGCCCCAGTCAGAATGGCGCAGAAGACAAAGCGCAGACACCTTACGTGTACCCGGAGGTGATTAGATACGATGTTTGCACTGAGAGCTTTCACTGGGACCCCGCAGAGGAGCTCAGACGTGGCGTTCTGCACTGGGGCGTCGTCTGGTGCTCAGAGCGTTTGGATTTCGGAGCGCTTCGGGTGTTCTGGTAGGGATGCTAGCCTGTCCGCAATGTCGGGGGATGGCGCCGAGGGAAGGCGCAGACCAGAGCCGAGGTGTTGTAAGCTGGCGCTCACAGAGAGTCAGGGTGTCTTCGCTGCTAACCCTGACCCTACTCCAGGTCACCCCCCAAGCCGACCCCATAGAACCTGTGGGCACAGGTGCAGGGGAGTCGCGCTGGGCTGGGTGGCTGGCCTCGTTTCCAAGTTGCAGGGGGCTTGGTCTGCGTGGGACCGAGGCATGGTCTCTGGGGTGCAGCAGCCAGCCGTGGTGCCAGGCAGAAGTGGTTCCAGCTGCTCAGGGAAGGGAGGGCATGCGGGGAACCCCGAGAAAGCGCAATTAGCCGGTGCCCTTCCTGAGTCTGGCTTCCCACCAGTCAGTGCGACCTCGGTCGAGTCGCAGAGATCCTGTGCCTCAGTTTCCCGACTTGTCCATGAGAAACGGGCGTGCTCATTCTCAAACCCATCTTCATGTGCAAGCGGGGTCTGCCTGTCCCGGCGGCGAGTAGGGAGGAGGGAGCGTCCCCTGCCTCGGCCCGCTGTGACGTGGCCCACTCACAAGTCCCTCCCTCTCTTTGCAGACCCGAGAGGGACTCACTTGTGGGAATTCATCCGCGACATCCTCCTGAACCCCGAGAAGAACCCCGGGCTGATCAAGTGGGAAGACCGGTCTGAGGGAGTCTTCCGGTTCCTGAAGTCCGAGGCTGTGGCCCAGCTGTGGGGGAAGAAGAAGAACAACAGCAGCATGACCTACGAGAAGCTCAGCCGGGCCATGAGGTGAGCTGTCGGGGGTTGGAGCCCACAGGCACACGCGGCCCGTAGGCCGCCGCCAACCACGAGTGCGTCCCCTGCAGGTACTACTACAAGCGGGAGATCCTGGAGCGCGTGGATGGCCGCAGGCTGGTGTACAAGTTCGGGAAGAACGCCCGCGGGTGGAGAGAGGACGAGAACTGAGCCCGCGGCCGCAGACCCGGCCAGTAGGACGCGCAGAGCTGCAGGCCGCCTCCGGACTGGACTGCTGCTCCCTGGCCTGCGTGCCCGAGGGAAAGGACTTGGAAAGGGAGGAGGATAGGGTGCGGTGGAGAGTGGCCTCTGCACACAGTGTGCGGCCGGAGCGCCGGCCCTCTGCCACCGCCGCGCTCCTGTCGTCATTGTTCTGGCCTCAATTGTGAAGCCCCTTCCTGCGGAGGGGCGCAGCTGGGGGCCTTGTGCTTCTTGCTGAAAGGAGCCGCATCGGAGGGCATTAAATGTTTTTGTATGCACAATGGTTTAGGAGAAGGTGATGTGTTCTCCCCAGGGCCTCCTCAAGAGAGGCAGGTGGCACTGGGCTGGAGCCCAGAGCCTCGGCCTGTCGGGGTGACCTGTGAACTGGGAAATGGGGCGGGGGTCTCAGAGACGAGAGTGGGCCATGGTAGCTGCAGAGCCATGTGATTGGGGGTGCTTAGATTGGCGTGGAGCGCACGGTGGGGCTTCCTGCTCGCCCACAAGTGAGCCCCTGTCACCAGGGGTGCCCCGTGCCTCCATGAGTTTGGTGAGGAGACTGGGGGCCACATCTGCTCATCCCAGTTACTTACGGGAGAGGTGGCCTTGGCGATGTTTGCTCCAGCTGCTGAAATAAACGAGCAGAGAGGGTGACGGCGTGGGAAGGCTGACGGGCTGCCACCGTGTCCCCGCCCGGCCGGCACCAGGCTGCTGTCCTGGCTGGGCCGCGCTCTGCGTGCAGGGCTGCTCTGTGCTGTGGAAGGCCTTCGCTGTGGCTGTGACCCTGCCCGCGGAGTCCTGGGAGCACTTGCCAAGTGTGACAACCAAAAGTGTCCCCAAACCATGCAAATGTCCCCTGGGGCATACCATAGCACTGGGTTGAGAACCACTGGGTTTTAGCCAGTCAAGGTGAGGGTGGAGACTTATTCTCAGAACAAAAAATACACGTAAGGTCTTCCAGGCCCAGAGCACAGCAGAAGCAGGCCTTCCAGGGCAACCTATCGCTGGCTTTATAGAAAGGTGGGGACATGAGTTAAAGTTTGAGGAGCTTCCTGGAGAACCTGGATGAGCCAGAGTCCGTCAGTCAGTCTGTCAGTCAGACGCAGTGCAGCAGCCACGGCCCCGGACGGCTCTCCTGGCATCACAGCCCAGGGTGCAGAGCGCAAGGCGGAGGGGCTGACGGAGCACTGTCTGTGAGAGAGAGAGAAGGGGGGAGAGGGAGGGAGAGAGATAGGGAGGGAGGGAGAGAGGGAGAGGGAGAGAGAGGAGGGGACAGAGCAGGAGGGAGGGAGAAGGGAGAGAGAGGGAGAGAGCGGGAGAGAGGGAGAGAGGGGGAGAGAGGGAGGGAGGGGAGAGAGACTCTTGGACTCTATTTTCAGGGTAAAGCTTCTTTGCAGGTGTTAATTCTTATAAACCTTTCCTCTTCTGAGCCATCGCATCTGAACTGTCCCAAGTGAATGGTTTGTTGCCTAGCTTTGCATTCAGAGGAGCGTTTTTACGAGAGGGAGGGAGGATAGAGAAGACAGGCGGAAACGCGCCCTGAGCCACGGTGCGGGAGCCACCAACTTCTCCAGCAGTGGGTTCTCTGGGCGCCAGGCGGCTGAGACGGCGAGCCTGTGGGCGCTCCAGAAGTGGGTCTACATGCCACTCTGGGCACTTCTTTCTGGGTCCTTGGGTCCCCTTGGTACCCGTGTCCACAGGAGGGCGTGCACCTCCTCACCCCGCAGAGCACCACGGTGTCCCACCCGGGGAGGGAGCGGTCACGGAAGGCCACCGGAAGGCTGCGAGTAAGAATTTCCGAACTGGAATGAGAACTGTTTGGGGCGGCAACGTCGAAGCGCCTGACAGCCCCCCGAGGGTACCCCAGGTCTGCTCTGCTCCTGCCTGGCTTAGTCACCTCCACAGAGGTCTCAGTGTTGTCAAGTAACAGCTCCCGATTGAGAGAAAGGACAATAGCCAGCAAGGGTCTCGACTGTGGACTCAGACGTTGCGTGGCAGCTACGCTGGGCTCCGTCAGCGTGGCTGGAGCCCGCGGGTCCTTCCCGGCGGACGGGGTGTCAGGGCCGGGTTCAACGCCAGGTGCCGGCACTGCCATAGTGGGCACACATTTGGGAGCCTGGACTGTGGAGTCGTCAGGACGCCTGCCAAGCCCGCTCGCTCCTGGTCTTGGCTCGTGTGCGATCGACGTGACCCTTCTCTGGGCTCACCCTGCCTGCACCCCCCGGGTCTCGTGCAGCCTCTGCGTTGGCCTGGACTCCTGCACAGCCTTTCCAGTGAAGAGCCGTTCTTGCTGGGGAGTCGGCGGTCCGGGCACCAGCGAGCGTGCTGACATAATTAGCAGATTGTGTATTTGCTGAAAGTGACAGTTCCTTGGCACCGGGGCCTTGTGTAAATAGGCTGGGATCTGCAGTTCTCAGCGTCTATTGTCTCGGCCCGAGCGAGTGCGTTTTCTGTGTGCTGTGCGTGACTTGGAGAACTCAAGGTGATGGGGACATGCCGGCGCGGGGTGTGAACAGCACCTCCCCGTGTGGAGGAGCAGAGCCCTGCAGAGAAGTCCCCGTTCCCACAGAGCCGGCCTGAGCCGGAAGTCCACTCGGCCACGGCCTGGTTTCCCTGCACACCCTCCTGCAGCTAAAGAGCAGGCTCCTTCAGCGATTTTCTTGGGGACTTGAGGCAGGAAATGAATTAGTAAGGCCTTGCCAGGCACGGACCCTGGAGCTCCGAGATGCTGGGCATGGTGATGGGCAGGGCCTTGCTCGGATATGCCGCGAGAGCAGACCAGGCCAGGCCATGGCTTTCCTGGGACTCACTGGGTCTTGCTCCGGGTTCTCACCCCGCTGGCCTGTTTCCTGTACTAGGTGGTACTTGCAGAATGAATGAACGGACTTCTGGAAGACTCCTCTGCCGGGAGGCCACATCCGACTGCGACAGAATCCCTCCTCCTCTGAGTGAGCACAGCGGCCACCCCTCGCAGGACGTGTTCTCTGGCATGGACGCTCTGCGGGGAGGCTGCCTTCAGGAAGCCCAAACGCTGCGGGTCCACGAGTGCCTGTGTGGACGGGGTGCGCGGCCTTCCTGGGAACCGTGAGCCCTCCCTGGTAGGGAAGCCAGAGCGAACCTTTGGCCTGTCCCAACCGGCGCGGCCCCATGTGCTCGTGCAGTGGTGGCTGCTGTTGAAGTGCAGAGTGGTTTTAAGCTTTAGTGTTTGGGGAGCTGGTTTTTATTTTTCTTTTTGAAAAATTCTGAGGGATTTTTCGATTAGGTTACAAGTCCGTGTTTTATTTGAGTTTTGTAAGTGTGTTGTTTTCAGAAGTTTATGATATAGAAAAAGGTGAAATAATAGGAGGGAAAGGCCCTGACGTTATTTTTCTATAGTTAAAAAGTTCAGTGTTGAGACCAGCAGATGGCATAGTGGTTATGTTGCTGGACTCCCACGTGGCTGACCGAGGTTCGAGTCCTGGACCCGTGGCTTGAAGCTCATGTGGAATGTGTGTGCGCGTGCATGTCTCCAAGATCCTTGGAGGAGAATGGAGGAGGATTGCAGTGTGGCCATCCCCCTGGTGGTGGAATTCTCGCTTTCCCTCTCACTACCTCTGTCTCACTCTCTCCCTGGGCAGTGCACACACTCTAAGGCAAAATCCTCCCCCCAAAAAAGTCCAACGTTTGTGATGTGCGTAGCACGACCCGCAGACGTGAGGGCTTGTGACTGCATGACTGCCTGGGACAGCGGGGACTGGGCCAGCACCTGCGGGAGGACCTCGCCGAGACCGCGGCAGGCAGGCTTAGCCTCGGGGCTGGCTCTCGGTACCTCGTTCCTGGAATAAGAGACACGGCATTAAAAACAAAACAAAGCAAACCTGTTGAGACCATGTCTGAAAAGTGCAGGCCTTCACAGGTTCGGTAAATTGGGATTAATCTTTCTGTAGCTATCTGCATAATTCCTGTTTCTCTTCTCACCTGGCTTCTGGGTTGACAACTTGTGGAAAACACCCCCACTGCCCCATCATTGCTTTTTCATCAGAAATCTTTCCTTGTAAGCTATGTTCAAATCAACGTGTCCTGTCTTAGAGGAGAAGGGTGTTGTTCACAGCACGCCTCTGTCGGCGGGTCCCAGGACATGCTAATACAGAGCATGGGGAGCACTCTGACGTGTGTCATTCTCCACGAGTCGCCAACGGCCGCAGCGACCGAGCATGCGTGTTTCCGCGTCTGTCCCTGGTAAGCACTTCCTGGGCACCTCCCTTGTGCAGGCCTGCCAGGCCCCACCTGTGACCGAGGGGACGAGATAGAGCCCTCTGCCCTCTGGGTCTGTGAGGCACACTCACCCACCACCGAGCCAAGTGGGCAGGGAGGTGTGCGGGAAAGACACGCAGCACGGTGGGGGGGAGGCGTGGGGATGGAGGGCGTGTGCACGCTGAGACAGGGAAACGAGGGACCTGAGGGTGCAGAGGAAGGAGCCGCCCGGGGCACAGGGAGCGACTCCTCCTGGAGGGACCAGCAGGCGCGGAGGTCCCGAGATGGGCCCATCCCGCGCACGCTGAGACAGGGAAACGAGGGACCTGAGGGTGCAGAGGAAGGAGCCGCCCGGGGCACAGGGAGCGACTCCTCCTGGAGGGACCAGCAGGCGCGGAGGTCCCGAGATGGCCCCCCCCCGCCATATCCGGTCTGTTTCCCAGAACAGATGAGCACCAGCAGGAAGCAGAGCTCTGAGGGCCTGGTGCTGAGATGAAGCCGCTGGGCCTTCCTACACTGGAGCTGGGAGCCCACGGACGCGACACGCTCCCTTCTGGTCCAAGCACCCCTGCGGCGAGCCGGCGGCATGGGGGTAAGTCGGCCGACCTCACCTGGCCTACTGTGTGAGTCCAGGCCTAGGCTCAGCAGCTTGAGAAATACACAGGGTGTCCAGATCCTGAAGGGAGGAGGGAGGGGTTGCGACGCGGCCCCCACCCTGCACAGGGGCGCTTTCTCGCTCTCTCTCTCTGGCAAGTGCACAAGTCCTCCAGAAAATTTTGAAAAATAAAAAAGACTCCCTCTGACCACGGCATTGAGAAAGGGCTGCAGGAAAGCGGTCGGTGCTGGGATCTGTCCTCTGGAAGGATGGGCAAGGAGGACTGGTGACACCAAGTCCACTCTCACGGTGCCTGAGCACGCTCTCAGCCGTCTCCCGGTCCCCAGGAGCTGCTTAGCCGCTGGCAGCAGGGTGGTGGCGGGAACGACAGCAGAGGCGACAACTTCGGGGAGGCTCCCCTGCATCCAAGGGCCACGTGTGCGAGACACGCAC